AAAAATAATACAATATACATGCCAGTTACGCCCTTGATAAATCCGTAATAAAACATCTGCTATCTTAGGAATATGATTGCTCATGATATTTCATAATATTTAATGTGTTTTATTTTATCAATAACTTGTCTCTAAAATTTATACTCGTACAACCTTCTCGTAAGCACTATATAAAAATTATACATTTTAAGACACTTCAATATCAATATCATTTTTTATTTACGTGCACAAATATCTTAGTGTTCTCCCAACAATACTATAAAAGAATTTCTCTATCATAGCCATACATGCAGGCAATCCAAATAGTAAATACCATTCTTATTTTATTTCATAACGTTCAGTATCTAATATAATAATTTGAATTATACAATTGACTAGACATCATAAAATCAGTAGCATTCATATCAATATGATCAAATGAACTTAAAGTGCATGTAAAATCTATCTAAATAATTATTAGAGTGTATCCGATTTAGAAGAAACCAAATTACTACGATAATTTAAAAATACAAGTACTTACTTCGATCATAGATATTTAACTTGCTTTTAAGTTTTATCACTTCTTTCAAATTAACACCTATAAAATATAAAATATTCATGTTATTATATTTTTATCACATTACTTAATTATATTTTAATTTAACTATTAATTATTGTTTTATTACATTATTTTAATTAATATTTCAATAATTAAATTTAAAATTTAATCATTGTAATTAATATTAATCATTATTAATTTATATAGATATTTTTGGAAATAAAATCTTATCCTTTCTTGCTGTCGCCAACCTTTCCTTGATCCAAAAGTGAAACTTTTATAGCCCGAATTAAATGCACTTAAATTTAACATTTAAATAATAAACTTAATAATATATATAATTTTTGCTAAATAAATTATTTAAAATGTTTAAAAATCACCTTTATATCTTCGGTCGAGAGCCCTAAGCATGCAAAACCAGTCTTTCTCCTCTGCGCGCGACCTGTCGTGCTCTTTGCTATGAATCATTCGAAGGCCAGAAGGACTGCAACCTTATCAAGAAGACGGGTAGGAAGAGTCGTAAACTGACTCTTTTCTTCTCTGATGTTGAAATTTCCAACCTGATTAACAAGTTCAAAGTCACCTTCATTTGGAAGTTCCAATCGGGACATCCCAAAATGGAAATCGTTCGAAAAGCTTTTGAAGATCTCAAACTATTTAGACTTTGGAAGGTTAACCTCTTTGATGTGATAATACAATTATTAAAGTGGAAGACTGCTAAAATATTTTCCAAAAAGTTTATGACAATAGATGGAAAATATATGAAACTGCTTAAGTGTTCTCTTGAATTTGACCATAGCCAAGAACCACCCATAGTTCCAATTTGGTTTAAATTACCTGGCCTAAAGTTGCACTACTTCAATCACCAAGTCTTCTATTCTGTTGGAGCTGCGCTATGTAGACCTATGAAATTGGATACACATACCTTCAATCTAACCAGATCTTTGGTTGCAAGAATTCTTTTTGAAAGGAATATCACCCTCCCTGATGTGGACGAAATATGGCTTGGTACTGCCCACAATGGGTATTGACAACCAATTGTTGCAGAACAAAGACCCTACTACTGCAATCACAGTAAATTGTTTGGGCGCAACCCTGTCAAATGCTTCATGCTTCACCCACATTTGAGATTTGCAGGTCCTAACAACATCATCCATTTGGAGGAAAGTATAGCAGACACTGTTAACCTTCCAGATATGTCGAATGAGAATTTAACTCATAAGGCTACTCCTCACCAACCAGACCAGCAGCTTCCGCCTATTGTTGTTGAGACAGCTCTTCCTCAGATCACAAATAGTATGAATTTTGTTGTAGCAGATGCTAACCGAAGTGTCTTGGAACCACCTATTGCGGAGAAGAAGGCACTCAAGTTCTGGAGGAGTGTCAGGATCAATGTGTGTTGCAGACTGAGTCAGCAACAATTTACCTCCATTGAAGGTCCACCTATTATTCAGACGAGACAACCTCTGGCTGATGATTGACAGGTTTACAAATATAAGAAAAAGAAATAAGGAATGACACATCTTAGTAATTCTCAGGATGATTGTATCATAGTTTCGGGCGGAAGCCCACATCTCAGTATGTTGCTGGACTTCTTCCTTTAATCTAGGGGGAGGGGAAGCGGTTTATCCACTGACTACACCCACCATGATTATGAGTCGTTTTCTTTTTGTTATATTTTGGGGAAGACGTGTACTTATAATTTCTGTTAGTGGGTTCTTTGTACTCACTCACTAAACCTTTGTATCCTTTCTTTTATATCAATGAATTTTGACTTTTCAAAAAAAAAAAAAAAAGAAATATATATATATATATAATCATCAATGTTGATTCCAAGCACGAATGAAAATAGTTGCAGGTATTTTTCAAATTATTAGCTTATGCCCCAGCTTTAAAAGTTTCCTAGGTCCGCCCTGGGCATGGAACTTGTATTCTTGAATCAATAGAATTCTTCTGATTGTAGTTTCATGAAATCTTTGAAGTGCATACTTTGAAATATGAGGAGTTTTTTCTTCTATCGTACGGGTGGAGTTAATCATCTTTTAATTTTTAATCATATTTCTTCTTTTCTGGAGAAAATAATTTAAATTTCTTAGATAGCCTTTGCCATAATTGGATTTGTTAAATGTTTCTTCCAGACGAGCCGCTATATGATTGCCAGAAATGTGATACATGCTGTGTTTCTTTTCTGAGGATTTAGTTTGATCTATTAGGTTTTTTCGTATTTTGCATTTTATTTTTTCTTTATTACAGCTGTTAACGTTCTTGTTATGACTTAGATGGGTATTTTTTTTGAATGCCTTCATCTTGCACTTAAACTGTACTTATAAAACCATGTTCTGTAATTATGTTAATTTTAAAATTTCAAATGTCGTATTGGTGTTGGATTTATGGATCTGATGCATCTACTGTAGGTATATACCAACCGGTGTTCTCTTTGACCTCCTATGTGCAGAGCCTGAAAGACCATGGAATTTGACAGTAAGTACTAATTTTCTTAATCTCTCTTTTTCACTCTTGATTATTTTGTTTTAAAGTTTAACCTGCTAAGTTTTTCTGAACTGATGTTTTCCCTCATTTCTTCAATTTAAATTAAGTCTTAAATTTTTTGAATTCATTCCCCTATTATTTTTCCAAATATTCTGCTAAATTTAGTTTCATTGGTTGCAAATTATGCGTTGTTTCCCTTGCATTTATTTTTATCATGGAGGACAATTAGTGACCAAAATCATTGTGTTTTCTTCTTCAAATCTGCAAACAGTAGCAATCTGGTATGATATTTATGAAATTATAGGTCTCACAAATCTTTTGATGGAATCCTTTTGCTGATATGCATATAACCGCGGACCATATGAGTCCACTCGTGGCTTAGAAAATCGTGGATCCGCTGCTATATTTGAGGGGGAGAAATTATTCTCCCTTCATTATCTAACATTGCATTTTTTATTTTATTTTTCATTTTATTATGATAATTTGAATTTCTCTCTAATTGTATTAGGTTTTGTTGGAGCTGGGTATATTTTTTATTTGCTTAATGAGATAACTAAGAGTTTATTTATTCTAAAAAAGTTCCTCCTAAATTTCACATGATGTTTGAGCAAGGAAAGAAATACTAGCTCTTTTTTCAGCTGTCAGAGCCTCTCAAACAGCCGTCGAGCAGTTAGAATTATTTTTGTAGCCGTCGAAATATCCTCAGGCAGCTTGCAGGCCTCTGTTCTTGTAATCGGACTCTCCTAAGCGACAGCGGTGGCCTTTTGGAACATCCTAGGCCCAAATCTCCTTAACCTTATTCTTCTAGGCATCCAGAATCTCCTCAGCTTTCTCGTCACGGACAACCAGAATTTTCCTAAGCAAACTACATCTTCGTGTGCAGCGACCTCATCCCAACTTGTGACCTAGACTTGCGCCGTTCTCTGTCGGAGGGAACCTTGGGAATTTTCTCTCTAGTGAAAATCCCAGACACCTCGACATTCGCTCTCTTTTACAAATATTTTCTCTCTAGTGGAAATCCTAGACACCTCGACATTCACTCTCTTTTGCCAAATATTTTCTCTCTAGTGGAAATCCTGTGTCGGCGATAGGCAATTACTTTTTTCTAGTGGAAATCCTGTTTCGATGATAGATAGATTCTCAATCTAATGAAATTCCCATGATGACTAAATACAGCATGAAAGTTGCTTCTTACTCCTTAGAAATTGAACTTAGGATGTTTGGTTCTGCAACATCTTAACTCTCTTCCCGCATCACCAATCAGAGATTGCATGACAACATTTTCTTTTAATGATCTCAATCTGTATTCATGTACATTTGTGGTAAAGGATCATCTCACCGAGGAAAATCTTACACAAGAAATTACTGATCCTAAACAATTGGCTGTTCATAAAGAAATCACCATCTTCATCTTGAATGTTTTTTTTCTTTTTCCACACTAATGATTTGTAGAATAGATGGAGACATTTAAAACAGTGCTTCCACTGCTATAGAATAAAATGGGGAATTTACGTGCGCAACAAACCATCCTTATGTATTTAAACCTAAAAAACTTTAAACTGTCATATTTACATTTATAGTAATTTGGTTTCCTCAACATAGACATGAAAGATGAATATCACTTATTAAAAAATAAATAATAGTCAGTTTTTTTGGTTTTCAATATGTAAATAAATAAGAAGCATGTGATATGTAAAAGCCCTAATTCAAACATAAAGAGAAAAGTCTTCATAATACATTAATAAATCATTTTGAGGATAATCCAATTATTAAACCAATGCCAACCTTAAACTACTGTAACATTATACACCTGAGGATAAAAAAAAAGAAAATAAAAAAATATTTTTTGTGTTAGGTATGAAAATAAAGAAGAATGTGTGGTATGTAAATGCAATTTCTCATCCATATTTAATTACCCCCATAAATCTGAGAATATAAACCGAATAAAAAAGAGTTTTTTCTCGCGACCGCCTAGAGCATAATTGGTAGTGAAGGTGTTCTCCTTACCATCGGAGGGGCATGGCATGCGAGAGAAATGCGGGGAGGCAAAAGGGAGGAAACATACCTAGGAAAGCAAGAGCCGGGGGGCGAAGTATCCAAACGGGGCGAACAAATGACTAGGGCAAGCGAAGGAAAAAGTCACTGCCTGTTTGAAAGCGAGGGCAGGGAAGGAAAAAGTCACTGCCTGTTTCTTCACAAACTGCAGGACACAACCTAGTGTTCACGGTCGCAAAAAAAAATCGCGCCGCGGTTATAACCGGGATGACGAAATGGAGCGATACAAACAGGGACACAACCTAGCGTTCAAGGTCGCAAAAAAAGTAAAATCGCGCCGCGGTTTATAACCGGGATGACGAAATGGAGCGATACAAACAGTTAAAAAAGCGGTTTAATTAAAAACGCTGTTTTAAAATCCAAAACAAATGCACCCTAAAACTAGTGACACACGATTTCTAGAATTTTGAAGAATATTCAATCATCAATGATATGCATTAAAATTTTTACAATAGATGGTTTTGTTTGCATTATACTTGATTGGGATTTCAATATGTAAAGACTTTCAAAAGGCTAGAAAACAGGAATCAATTGCATGTATTCTTGATGACTTCTTACATGGGTTGGATAATTTTGATTAGTAAAACACATGAACAAACCTAACACTTTTCAACGGACTTTCAATGATCCTTGTATTTTTATTAACTTGATGAATGTCTAAACCATCATAAGATTGATGAAACTCTCGCATATAATTTTCTTCTTTTGTAGACCACCATCAATCTTATGTTCTTGAGGTTGATGATTACATAAAGGAGGTGATGAAAATAAAAAAATAAAAATAAAAAATAAAAAGAGGAATAGATCGTTTCTTGCACGCGTTTTGTTTAATCTCTCTGATTATTAATCGACAACATTTGGTAGGTTCATTTCAGAGGGCATCCAGGAGAAGTATTGTCGCCTTGTGGTGGGGAGGACCCTGTGAAATGGAGCTTTATTAACTCTTTGAAGGAGGTCAGTACTGTGATATGTTAACGTTTTCCTTGTTCGTCTCATTTAGCTTTATTTTCCATTCGTATTTAAACTTTAAAGAAGCACATAAGATGCTTGCAAACCTGTTTAACTGTTTTTGTTTTTTGAGCTAATATTCCTGACCTTTTTTGTTTAATGATCATTATGGAGGTGTATACATGTTGCTAACCGTTCCTTCAAACATAAATGCAACCTGAACTAAAAATATTTTTTCTATAGTGATTTTTTATTGTAAAGACTTTTATTAGGGCTTAATCTATCTTAAAAGTATAAATTCTGCCTCTTTTTAATGTTCTTTAACGTCTCTAACTGATTTTCATCAAATACTGCTTATCAAAATTTTAATTTCTTAAGAAACCTCCCATGGAGCCAGTCTTGAAGCATATTCAACTTTCATGATGCAAAATCATATTTCAATGGGCAAACAACTTATTTGTTAGTTTCTGTTCACGTTCAGTACACTAAGTGATAAATGGCTATTTCCTTTCGATTATCATGTTAAATGGATCTATTTTTGCGGTAACCTAAACATCACTTTTTAATGTTATATTTCCTTAGTGAAAGGGAAATAGGCAGGGTAAATGACCTATGCTTTCATTTCTTGTGGAATCAAGGGTCTTCTTTTATTGGCTATCTTATACCTTATCTGCAGGGATAAAATATAGTAGATTTTGGATAATATGATAAACAGTTGTTGAAAAGCCAATCATTTTATGATCAACTCAGAAAGTATATATTAATATTATAATATGAAAATGATATTAGTGAAATAACTCATCATAACGATAATGATCATCATCATCACCTTTATCCGAACTCTTTGTGGCAGTTTTTATAAATTCTTATTTTCCTTTTGTTTCTGTTGAGCGCTGCCTTGGATGTTAGAGCTATTATTTTAACTTAATTCAATTATTTTGTTCTTAAAGAAAAATCTCTTTTTTTATTGTACATTTTCTGAATTAAAATTTTCATTAATCATGATAGTTCTTATCTTGACAAAATTAAGATCATTTTTATTATGAATTTTAATTTTTTTTATTTAAAAATCATACTAATTAATGATACTTGTTAAAACTTAAAATTGTGAAAGATAAATTATGTTATGGCATAAATATCATTGCTAGAGGTAATTCTCATATAAAATGCTTGTTGAGAATTCTTAAATTCCTAACGATTCATACTTACTAAATGATACTATTATTAATTTTTTGTGGGATATAAATATTAATGTAAGTACATCGACATCCCTAATAGATAATAATGAATTAACACAAATTATTTCAAATAAGAAAACTTTAAAATTAAATACCAAGTCTAGTTAAATTCATCAACATCCCATAAATCGTACGAAGAAAGGTTCCTATCCCCTCGTGCTAAACCGAGCCCTTCCTTACTTGGACCGAGCACCTTACCTAACCTGAGGTCATTGCCTAGGCGATCCAATTTTACGTTATCCTTATTTTACTGTTTATTTCATTTCATTATTTTGTATCATGCATTGTACTAAAAAAAGTCTGTGTTGTACTTTTATTTTATTGCCATTGTCGCTGTCATTCTGGATCATCACCATTAATACTGTGGGAGTTCAAAAATGTATAACTTTGTGGCAATAAGAAGATTTTGAGAAGTCCATTCGAGAAGGCTCGAGTATCCATCTGTGGGAATTAAGTACTATTTGGGGAAAACCACAGACTCATTGGAGAACTCTTTTTCAAATTGAGATTTTAAAATATCCGTCATTAGGAAACGCTAGTACCCGTCTTTGAGAATTAAGTATCGTTCGGGAAAAGTGAAGTATCGCTCGGGGAACTCTCTATTTATGATTTGACACCTTCAAGTACATTGTCGCCCCATAGAAGGTTCCCAGACATCCTTTTGCGGATTTGTCATAAACGACATCGTGACATTTCCTGTCGTTACGGTCTTCGACAATTTTCTCTTCGGTGGCGTGATTAGGGTTTAGTGTGTAGATATGGGTGATGGGTGATGTGTGGTGTAAGGGTTGTTTGAGTGGAAAAGGAGGGGGAAATTTTTTTGGGGGTGGGGATAATGCTAGAATGGAACCTTAGGACAATATTAGGATTAGACTAATTCTAATACCAAATGAAATCAGTGTTAACCCAAATGACAATAAACAAACAAATATTATTATTGGAAAAGCGAATAGGTAGTTACAACCAATACACTGAAATGAAGAATAACAATACGACACATAGAAATCTGAAAGTGCGACAAATGACAACACTATCTCAAACTAGGGTGGACCTTGGGGTAGTATTGGTGATCTGTGAGGGTTCGGACCTCCGGAAAGGTAGCGAAGGGCTGTTGAAAGGCTGAATGGTGGGTGGTAGCAAGGGGATGATGATGACAACAAAAGAAGGTGAGAAACTGCTGGAATAATGAGAAGACTGGCTGTCCCGAGTGGTGGAAGCAAGGACAAGGGGTTGGACAATTGCCAAACAACAAGGGAAATGCTATTATGGACTGCGAGAACAATGGAGGAGGGTGATGACAGCGAAGGGGGATTTGGTGGACTACGTGACAA